CTCCCTGAATAAGGGATCGTCACTCCAGACTTTGGATCCGTTTGCTGTCACTCCTTTTGAGATATACCCTTTCTTTCCTTTGTCGAATAATTTCCCTCATCCTCATTTTGACCCGATAGGACCTTTTTTGGCCTGTTGGTTCAGGTTCACGTGTGATGACTTTCGATATATTCACGTCATGAAACGGCAGCAATACGGAAAAGAGCAAAGAGCATGGATTTTTTCTTCATATTGTCTTTATTTTCGATTGTGAGAACAGAAACATCGAATATGGGATGCATCAGCGCGGCGCTTTGATACGACTTTTGGCTCGATTCCTTGGCACATTGCGTCTGGCAGGGAGATTGTTTGATTAGAAAAGATGGGTTTAGAATCTTGGTTGGTGGGTGGTCTTTTTTCTTTCTTTCTTTTTTTTTTTTTTTTTCCTCGTTCTCGGAAGCAATCATGTTCATGTGTATGTGTATGTACATAATTCTTATCAATATCATGTTCGGTACATAAATCTCTAGGTTTGTCTTGACGATATTGTTCGGTTTGGCATTCTATATAGATCACATCATAACATTCACGCATAAGCAGGGTCATTAGGGCATTTCAATATCATATCAGGTCATAACATGTCAGGGTCGTAAGGTATTACAATCACAGCAGAAACACAAACAGAAAGCCACCCAATATTGACGGCAACGGGAAAGGATAAAGCAAAAGGGGTCATGAGAAAGACAAGAACAAAGGATACAAAATCCCCTAGACAAACACCCTATTGATCCCACGAAGCAATTGCTCGAACCGATCTACCAGCGGATCATGGAGGCGGTCGGCATCGTCCCGCTCTGGAAGCAGTCGGCCCTGCGAGTCGAACCGGTCAGGCAGGTCGATGGTGGAGTCTGAATCCGACTCTTGCGGATTGGAAGTACCATTGTCTTTGAAGTGACTGGGACGATCGCCCTTGGGTGGGGTGGGTTGAAACTGGGATTTTCGGGCGGTAGAGTAGGGATCGGAGGAAGAATGGCGGCGCCGGTGGGAAGAGGTGGAGGAACGATGACGATCGCGATGATGATGAGCAGTCAAAGAGTCGATGGTTGAGTCGCTATCGTCCGTTTCATAGCCAGGGTCGATCGGGCGCTGCTCCGCGTTGAGGTCAAAGGCAACAGACTTGGGCTGAGGAGGTTGACTGGCTGCGCGTGCGCGATGTCTGGTGTGCGGACGCGGCGTTCTCAGCGGGGACGATGGTTCATCTACACCTGAGCGGTCCTGGTTAGCGAAAAGTTTTCTTGGATGTCAGAGGTTTGATAAGTCCCTAGACCCACCATCATGCATGGGATACTGGGCAGTGGAAGGGGGAGAGTTCCATGCAGCACTCACATTCTCATCTGCCCTCCGGGGCCGGGGTGCGTACCGGTCCGGTCCTGGCTCGGGGGGATAACCGTAAGATTGAGTTGGAGGAACTGCACCTGGTGGAGGAGGGTAATCGGCCGGATTATATGGCGCGGCGGGAGCGGCGGGAGCAGGTGTGGTGCCGGGAGGTGGAGGGAAGTAGTTGGTGTTGGGATAGTACTGATTCCCTACAGGCTGTGTCGGCGGCAGGGGTGAGGGCGGGTATGGAAGGTCTGAAGGGTACGAGTCATCGTCATACTCTAGAAGGGGCGGTCGTTAGTCTACTGAATCAGCAGATCGTCTGCATACTTATTGAGAGCCCAACTTACTGGACCGGTCTCTCTCTCCATTCTTGTGCTCCCTGTGCTGCTTGTACTTGTGAGCAGCATAGCCGACTCCAGTGGCAGCCAAAGTGGCTTCGGCCAATTCACGAGAACGGCTGCGATGCTTGCGATGGCGGCTGCTTCGTCGTCGATGCGCGTCTCTGTCGGAATCAGAGGAGCTGGTGCTATATCTACCGCCTCGGCTGCGGCTGCGGCTGCGGCCACGGAACCCTGCTGCGTCCCTGGCTACTCGGTCAGAAGCATCCGAGTAATAACCCTGTTGGCTGGCAGGCCGGCCGTAGTAATGGGCTGCAGGGATGCTTCCGGTAACCGGATGTTCGCCGTACTCGATCAGACCAGCCGAATCGCGGCTGGGATCTGGGTAGATCTCGGACGGAGCCCTGCTTCGAGATCTGGAACGACGTCGCTCCCTCCGCTTCGTCTCCTCTTCCTTCTTCTCCTTGTTCTTTTCGTACAGCCCAGTGACGGCTGCGGTTCCCAGCCCGGCCGCAACGACAGGGAGCGCTTGTCTGAGTCGGCTGTGGGATCGGGACCCTTTTCGAGAGCGCGATCGGCTGCGAGCTTTCTCTACCAGACCAGCCACTGCGGCACCAGCCAAGCCAGCTTCTGCCATATGTTTCCGAAGCCGAGATTGGCTGCGTTTCTCACTCCCGGCATCCTTTTCGGGACGTATGGCACTGGAGGAGCGACGGTGTCGGGAGCGGCTTCGTCCGTCGGTATTCGACTTCTTATGAGCCAGAGCCAGAGCACCGGCAATGGCAGCGGCACCAAGGCCAATCTCAGTCAACGTCCTGGCACGCGAGTGAGAGTGCGAGCGGCTGCGGCTGCGGCTGCGACGGCTGTGGCGGCTATGGCTGTGGTAATGGTGATGATGACGGGAGCTGCGATCATCATCAAATGAGTGGGAGCGGTGACGGCTCTTGCTGCGGTAGTAATCGCGGGCACGCGAGGCAGCACTCACGGCAACAGCGCCCAAGGCGCCGGCACCGACGTCGTGGCCGAGACGGCTGAGTCCCGAAGACACCTCGTCACCTTCCTTCTTTCGATGGTTGCGAATCAGTTCTGCAGCGCCGATACCGACCAAAGCACCCTCCGCGAGGTGACGTCGATGATGGGGGTGATCCTCGTATTCGCGGGTCTCTTTGCGAATATAGACCATGCTATCATCGCTGCTGTAGTCTTGGTCGTCCCGACGACGACTGGTCTGGGAGACGGAGTCGCCAGGACTGAGCTCGCGGCGAAGGCGACGGTCGTCGTCATATTCGCGGACCCGGCGATGATAGTAGTAAGCCGGTTCCCGTTCTACCTCGGAACGCTGGACAACCTCATAGTCGGATTCACGGGGGTGAACAATGAGGGGGCCTCCTCGCGCTACATAAATTAGGGTTAGATCTACTCGACCGGAATTTGCATATTGGTACTCACAATCATAGTAGTCCCTTTCGGAGCGGTAGTCGTAAGGGCGCGAGTCATAGTCGATCTCTCGCTCGTAACGTTGCACCATGACGGGTTCCTCTCGCTCTGTAGAACGGCGGATTACCAATTCTCGATCACCAGTGACGGGGTCTTCACGACGGTAGACAAAATCGCGCTCTCGATCCTCCTCTGAAGGGATGACGTAACGCTTGATTGAGACGGTGGAGGAACGAGGCTCGTCCCACTCGCGATCTCGCTCGCGTTCTCTGTAAATGTAAGATGACATGAGGATGAAATTCTTCCACGACGACAAGGGAGATAGAAGTAAAAGTATATGGAGGTAGGAGATGGAGAGGAAAGAGAAAAAAGAGTTGATATGGCTGAAGGGAACGAAAAGGGAATGGAAGTGCCTGGAAGAGGGAGGGGGGCGAGGAAGGGAAGTGGGGTAGAATCAGTGCTGGCGATCAATCAGGCTGTGGGACAAGACTGACGGAAGACACGGGCTGTCGGGCGTCGAGTCAAGCGCCAGAGAGTGAAGAGGCGCAAGAGCTGCTCATGCGCTTAGATGAGCTGGGGCATGAGGATGTCCAATGATAGAATGTCTGATGGTAGCAGGGAATGAGGGGATACTAAGTATGAGTATGGGTTCTTGATGGGTATGACTGAAAAGATTGATGGCTCATGCACAACAAGAATTGAGAGAAGAGGGGAAACAAGATATATGAGACAAGGAAGATGATGTGATGATGCTGGTGGTAGATTCGATGAAAAGGAAGATATGATGATGATGATATTGAAGGGAAGAGGAGATTAGAGGCACATACAGTGTCTAGTAGTACGTACCTACCTTAGTAGTACTGCAAGTGATGAGGGACCAACACGAGACACGGCGATGTGACTCGCTGACTGACAGGCTCAGTCGATCTCACGTTGTCAATCTGGAGAATCAACCCTTGTCAAGGATCAGAAGGACAGTATCAATAAGATAGTTAGTACGTGGTAGCAGTCTCAAAGATCTCTATTAGATGGGCTCAGTATTTATATTGTGCTCTGAAACTACACAAGATCAATGGATCCTCTAATCATGACTTCATCCTTGACAAAGACAGTGGCTGAGGATTGCGCCCGAGAGCATCCGCTTTCTCCTGGTCGGTCCATTTAGCATCCATCATCTTGAATGTCGAGGCTCGTATTGGGCATTATTCAATGACGATCAGCAGACTTCTTTGAGCCTCATTCATCCTGTTTCATTCTGTTTTGATACGTTGAGTGTCTGGGACTGGTGGAGTGGAAGACTCGGACTTGATCCATGGGTGCCGTACTGCCTTGTGGATGGTACCTGACAGTGCCTGGGGTTACCACAGGTCCACTGTCCACAGCTCCCTTGCAAGCAAACCATGGATCTTTGATATAGTGAGATTCAGTATTTCATTCAGAGTCCTATAGTCAACAGGTTTACTCCTTCAGTCCTTCGGTGTGGGATGTGAACTAGAAGTTTCACCATTTCTCTGATAATAGTCCCGAATACCTAGGCAATAAGGACATGGCTTTCCTGTCTCCTGTCTCATGGTGGTCGCTCTCTGTGTATCTTTCTCCCATCTACCCTTTCTGATCATTTTCCTTATCCTCCTTCAACCCCCGACTGATTCACTCTCTCATCGGTTTCTTATCGAAATAATTAGATTGTCTATCACACCAGTCGAGACTACTATGATCTACCGTAGTATGTCTCCAAATTTCAGTGTTCCAATATTGGCTAGCGCCCAATGACAGGGGTGAACGATTACGGTTGCATCCCAGGTCGCGTGCATCGCCAACATTCTCTTCTCGCACACAGTGGTCTCCCACGATCGGCTGGTAACGATGCTTGAAGAGGCCTCTCCACTACTTGGTGGACAGCAGAAAGCCGCGTCGAGGTGGTCATCAATCTACTGGCTGTCCACCGTCGTCTTCTGCCTGTCCGCTGCGGGGTCCATTCTCAATGTACCTCTAACGCAACTCATCGAGGAAAACATCTGCAGTCGATATGCTCAGCAAGGTGCTCCGACTGAAAGGCACTGCAAGACTGACGAGATTCAGTCAAAGTTGGCTTATCTCAATGGCAACCTCTCCCTCGTGGAGGCCGTAGTCGGTACATATTACCCCCTGATTATCGACATTTACATGAAGATTTCGAAGCTGACTCGTTGCTCAAGGTCTTTTTGTTGCATTTCCATTTGGTGTCCTGGCCGACAAGTAAGAGAGACTTTCGAATTTGGTTAAGGGACTTGGAACTCACTTCTCCGCAGAGTCGGTCGAAAACCCGTCATTTTTCTATCGGTGATTGGAGCCTCACTTGCCTTGGCCTGGGAATTAGCTGTCATTGCGTTTCCAAAGGTAGTTCAAGTCCAGGCAATCCTGGCTGGTCCGTTGTTTACGGTAGTCGGGGGTGGAAACACAGTGCTCCTCGCTAATCTGTACTCGATCGCGTCGGATCTGGTGGCTCAATCAGACAGGTACCCTCTGACGGACACTGAACTGATTTCACTGAATTATGAGATAACTGACACATATGATAAGAGCATCCGCCTTCTTCCTGATGGCATTTTCCAGCCTAGTGGGTGCCTCTCTTGGCCCAGCGCTTTCCTCCAAGCTCATGGAAACCATCTCTCCTTGGATTGCGGCCTTCGCCAGTTTCTTTGCCAACTTGATCGCTTTGATTCCGCTGTTCTTCGTACCCGAAACACTGTCTATATCAAAACCGGATTCTAACCCCCCCGATGATAATTTCGATTCGGAAGAATCACAGCCCGACACTTTCAAGTTCCACTTATCTCAGTCCCTTCAACTCCTCATCGCTTCCCTCGAATCGCTCAAGTCTTATTCTATGGTTCTCGTCTTGGCCACATTTCTCACGGTCGTACCCGAGATCCTGGGCACTTCTCAGTTCATGGCCCAGTACATAAGCAAGCGCTTTGACTGGCCACTCGCCGAAACGGGCTATCTACTGACTCTCCGTGGGGTCATTCACATGGCCGTCCTGCTCTTTATACTTCCTCTGCTCTCCAAGCTGCTTTTGCGATATCGCAATCCAGCCGTCAAGGATTTAGTACTCGCACGTGCATCGGTTGTGTTCGCCGCTGTCGGGGCACTTTGCATGGCGGCGCCGCAGATAGGGGTGGTAATGGCTGGGCTGGCAGTGCATAGTTTAGGGTCGGGACTGGCCCCGCTGTGTCGCTCACTTGCAGCAAGCTATGTGGCACCACAGGACACGTCTAAGCTGAACACGGTAATTGGCATAGTTGAAACAACAGGATCGCTATTCGCGGGGCCTGCCCTTGCCTGGTTGTTTGAGACCGGGATGAGGCTCGGAGGTATGTCACTTGGGTTGCCCTATTTTGGTCTGGCAGGGTCGTTCGTCTTGTGCCTAATAGGTCTATTGCTTGTTCGGACTCCTCCCCTGGACGAGGTGAGGGACAGTGACTAGTTACGAAAAGTCCGAACAATGTGCAAGAGTTCAATTTCAGAGAAATTCGTCATTTCAATGTCCATGATGGTCCCCATGACTCAACCCATCTGACCCCTGTAGACTTCCCGGCATCTTCAGTCAAGCCACCCCAGTACCTTTCCCCTTCAATGCTTTTGAAGTCCTCTTCAAAGACCATTGTAGCAATGCCTCACAGTCACGGCACGTATGCGTCGTGCGAAAATCAGGACCGAATGTTCGAGCGCTTTGGTACCAGGTGCGGGATCATCCGCAATTGGTTTATTGGCGGGGTTCGTCAAGGTTTCATTGGCCAGGTTTTGGGGCGCTATCGGACCTCCGGCGGCGAAGCTCAGGTCGCAGCCTTGGCACATTTAGATGTTTATATAAATCCCAGGATACTGAATGACCTCAGATAAGGGATAGGACTGTGATTGCCCATACACATGCCATCTGACAGATCTCACTCACAAAGTACAATATAATAACCTCTATTAGGCTAAACTCCCATCCCCGATACTTAGCGGTCTACACCTGCATCGTAAAACTAGCACGGAGCCCACATTTATCAGGGTCTCGAAAGTCTCGAAAGACGATACTGCGAGCAGTTTGTATGGCGATAACAAAAGGTGCAGATCATTGTGCGAAGGGCGTTTGGCCAGCAGCTGAGCATTTTCGAAGACGCGTTATGCAGCCTTCTTCGTAGATGAGAGCATCTTCCTTGCTAATTCTCACCGGAATCTCATCGGCCCTCTCACTTCAACTTTCTATTCTTCGTTTTCCTGGCCTTGCGCCGGTCCCGCCATGGTGTTGACGTGGGCCACGGACGCATGTGACAATGGCCACTTTGGGCCTATCGTCGCTACAGCGGACTGTCGTGGGGGATTCGACTTCACTGTAATTTTCGAGTCCGATATCCTGAGCATCGTTCCGGCCGCTTGCTTCCTCCTTCTGGCATCTTTTCGTCTGCTCTACTTGTTCAGACAGTCACGGAAGGTCCTCTCTTCCACACTTCGAGTGGTGACACTGGTGAGTAATCCCACCTCCACTGCCTAAGGGAGGTTTCGATATGGAAAGCCGAGCCTTCTAAGATTATCTTGCGCTAGAGTGTCTCTGTGACTTTTGCAGCTATTCAGGTTGCATTACTTGTGCTTGTTGCGACACAGCACTCCGTTGGAGGGCGCACACTGCTTGCAAGTGCCGTTCTCGACCTATTATCGGCGCTAGGCGTTATACTACTTCTTGACCTAGAGCACGTCCGCTCAATTCGGCCATCTTTTCTTGTCTCTGTGTATTTGTTAATCACGCTGCTCCTTGATCTTGCGCGTGTGCGCACCGCCTGGCTGCTACCGGAGAATCAGGCCTACTCCGCTTTTCTTTCTACATCCTTGGCCGTCAAGCTAGTTCTCTTGGTGCTAGCCAGTGTTGAAAAGCAGAAATGGCTTCTATCAGCCGAGAAATTTTACTCCACTGAAAGTGTGAGCGGGCCTTTCACCCGAGGCTTATTTACCTGGCTGAATGGGCTGCTGTGGAGAGGGCACTCCGCGTCACTGGCCGGGGATGATCTCCCCGCCGTTCACGAGAAGCTTTTGTCTTCGGAGTTGTCTGTCCGATTCGCAGATACATGGTCCCACTGCAATCAGACTGGACAAAATGCGTTACTTTGGGCGGTGATCAAGTGTCTGCGCTGGGAAATGGTGGCGATCGCCTTCCCGCGGCTTTGTGTTGTGGGATTCAGTATTGCGCAGCCATTTCTCATTGGAAAAGTGGTCAGTGTATTACAGCGCACTGACTCTTTCTCACTAGACAGTAGCTATGGCTTAATTGGAGCCACTGCATTTGTCTTTACTGGGATTGCTGTAAGCTAGTTGCCATCTCGTCGCACTGCTGGAAGTAACACTGACATTCCTTTGCAGGTTTCTAGAGCTTCTTATGAGCACCTGGGATATCGTGCTACGGCAATGATCCGAGGCGGTCTGATGAGTCTCGTCTTCCAGCATATGATGGATCTACCACTGGGGAGCACAGATGAATCCAGTGCCATGTCGCTTATGGGCTCTGACATAGAGATGCTGGCCGAATATTTTTATTCGGTCGTCTGTGAAACTTGGGCAAATATCCTTCAGTTAGCACTGGCTACATGGTTGCTAGAAACCAAGGTCGGTGCGGTCTGCATCGCTCCAATTTTGGTAGTGATAGGTGAGTTCTGTCCATTTCCCCAACCAACACCCCGTCTTCTCCATCATCTGACAAGTTTAAATTAGTATTCACGGCTTCCTCCTTTGCTATGGGTAATGCTGTTTCCACTCGGCAAAAAGAATGGCTTCGGGCCACCGAGAAGCGGATCAACTTCACAACTTCCATCCTGGGTTCTATTCGCAACGTCAAGTTTCTCGGCTTAGCCGAGATAATGAGTTCCAAGGTCGAAGCATTGCGCATGGAGGAGCTTGAAGTCTCCAAGAAGTTCCGCCGGATCCAGTCACTTCGTGTCTGCATGAGTGCGTGCTTACATTCGTCCCTGTCCCGAGTCAACTGTCGTTGCTATGAATAGCCCATGATCGTACTGATACTTGATTCCAGTCAACTCCCCTATAATCATCGGTCAGCTTGCGGCACTGGCTGCCTATGCGATAGTAGCATTGCTGCAGGACTCTGGGGGCCTTGCCGTCAACCAAGCCATCACCTCGTTGTCGCTTATTAGCTTGATGATCACACCACTGAGCTACCTCCTGTTGGCGATTCCAGACACATTTGCTTCAATAGGTTGCCTGCATAGAATCCAGGACTTTCTTAAGAACCAGAATCGCCTTGGTGAGAGCTCCAGTCCCCGGCCATAACATGCGTGACTGTGCTCCGGTTTCTCCGGATCCTGAACCAGACTCTTAGTTTCTCAACGTGGGCTAATAAGACTATACTTTACACAGAGAAGAGACAGCTTCCCGAGTCCTTGCCAACTCAATCCACATCATTCAGCAACCTCTCTGGTATTGAAATGTCCCCGCTCTCACAGCTTCCACACAGCGAGAAAGATGTGGTCCTATCTCTACAAAATGTCAGATTCGGCTGGAAATCCCCCTCTGTACCAGAGACAAATGGTATCACACTTACACTGAAGAATGCCCCTTCTGGTAATCTTGTCATCCTTGTCGGTCCAGTCGGCTGCGGTAAGTCTACCTTCCTTAAGGGTCTGGCAGGTGAGACGCCCGTGTTGGAAGGGGAGCTCTTCGTGAGGTACCCAGACTTGGCCTTCTGTGAGGAGACACCATGGCTATCCAATTCTTCAATACGGAGTAATATAGTTGGTGAAGATTCATCGCCTACTTTTGATCCTGACTGGTATCGCACTGTTCTAAGCGCATGTGCACTGGATTTGGATCTTAAGAAGATGCCGGCGAGCGACGAAACACTCGTCGGCAGTAAAGGCTCTAAGCTGAGTGGAGGACAGAGACAAAGAATCGTGAGTGATCAGCCTTGTCTATACACCCAGAAAGATTGGGCCTCTAAAGTAAATCCTGGCGTGTATAGGCTATCGCACGAGCGGTCTATGCTCGCAGACGTATTGCTTGCTTTGACGACGTTCTAAGTGGCCTGGACAATTCCACAGCCCGAACTGTATTTAACAATGTCTTTGGCTCGGCTGGGCTCCTGCGTCAGTTAGGGTGTACTGTATTCTTGGCTACTCACAGCAGTATGTGTATCTCACTCGCAGACTACTGACTTGGCTAACCATATTTCAGCCTATTGTTTACCCCAGGCTGACTTGATCATGGTCCTCGGGGACAATGGCCAAGTGACCAAGCGAGGCAGCTATGCCCAACTTCGAGACGACATTGATGGCTTCATTTATGTGAATGATACTCAACCCACACAAGCAGATGAGCCGGAAGAAGGCGACAAGCCAACAGACGTGCCTCCGACTACCTCAGACACTTCTAATGCTTGTCCTTCCACAGATGGCAGTCGACAGACAACCGAGCTTGCTGTATACAAGTATTATTTTTCTGCGCTGGGTTGGTCACGAATCGCTGCGTTGCTTCTCTTCCTCATCACAGAAGCAGGTATGAGCGGGTTCCGCTGTAAGTTATAATGAGATCCCCGACCCGTACATTATTGGTCATGACGGCATGAGACTCACTCTTTCCAAGATGTATGGGTCAGCCTTTGGTCCTCCAGCAGTGACAATACTTCGCGCCTAGGCTACTGGCTTGGACTGTATGGAGCATTCTCTGTTGTCCAAGCCCTTGCGCTTGTACTTGCCGTATTGTGTGTTCAATATCTCTCTTCGATCAATCCGTGTCTTTGATGACCTCTCTAACCTGGTAATAGCTGGACATGGGTCATTATTGTCCCATTTGCCTCCAGGAACCTTCACACAACCGTGCTACGCACTTGCATGGGGTGAGTATTTCTAAATACTCGCTGCGATGATTGGCTAATAACTTTAGTGCCCCCTTGTCCTTTTTGTCAAGCCTCGAGACCGGAGTTCTAGTGACCCGTTTCAGTCAGGACATGAGGCTAGTTGACATGATCCTGCCTCGAGGTTTCATATCTACAGGGTTCCGTAAGTGCAGCGATGAGACTTGAAGAGAAACTGGACAATAATCTAACTTCACTGGCCTCTAGAGTTTTTCGGAGCTATTGCCCAAGGCGCCACTGCCATAGCCTCATTGCCCTACTTGGCAGCGGCTTTGCCCCTTCTCTTTGGAGTCTTGTATCTGATCCAGAGGTTTTATCTTCAGACGTCCAGGCAGCTGCGGCTACTAGAGTAGGTTGCTCTTATACGCTTTTCTTACGTTAATCTGCTTGCATATGTTTGATTCTTCGATTCACAAAACTAATGCAAACCATCTACAGGATTGAGCTCAAGAGCCCTCTTTACACCCATTTTATCGAGTCGCTGGCGGGAGTCACCACTATTCGCGCCTTTGCCTGGACTCATGCTACGACGAACCGAATGCTTTCTTTGCTAGACACCGCCCAAAGACCCTACTACCTTCTCCTGTGTATCCAGCGCTGGCTGAGTCTTGTGCTCAATCTGATTGTGGCCGGCATAGCAGTCCTTCTTGTCGGAGCGTCTGTCGCTCTTCGCTCTCATCTGGACCCAGGACTTCTGGGAATTGCCCTTGTCATGATGATGGATCTGGGACTCATTCTATCAGAGCTTATTCAAAACTGGACGTTGCTTGAAACATCACTGGGGGCCATTTCACGCATCAAAGATTTTGCCGAGGAAACTCCTCATGAAGAGAGTAACATGGCCATTCAGACTCATGATGACCTCTCTGAATGGCCGATGAGCGGTGTGTTCGAATTCGTAGACGCAGGAATTGCTTGGGACCTTGGTGAGAAGAAGCCTTTACTCAACGGCATTAACCTTCGAATTGGAGCCGGACAGAAGTTTGGTCTGTGTGGCAGAACCGGAAGGTAAGGTCAACTCCCATTGTGTCCTCGGTCGAAGTCATGATTTTTTGAGAATCGAAGCAACGGTCTGACAGATTACTACGAATTAGTGGCAAGAGTACATTGGCACTATCCCTCCTCCGTCTCAATGAGCTTGTATCCGGCCAAATTCTCATCGATGGACAAGATATCTCCTTGATGACCCGATCATCAATCCGACAGCGCATTAGCTGTCTCAGCCAAGAACCTTTCATTTTCCCCGGTACCGTCAGGGAAAATGCCGATCCACTGGGCAAAGTTTCGAACACGCAGATTGTTGATGCCCTGCAATCTGTGGGGGTTTGGAGCATCCTTGCAGCAAGCCACAGTAGCACCGACGAAGAGGTGCTGGATTCAAGACTAGATGAAAGCATTCTATCCCAGGGTCAAAAGCAGCTGTTCTGTCTGGCTAGAGCTCTGCTGAAGAGGAGCAAAGTCTTGATTTTGGATGAGCCAACGAGCAGGTACGTTCCCCTCTTTCTCATTCCATCCATTGCTTAATAGCTGACGAGGGAACCATGTAGCCTGGACCCTGAAACGGATGCCAAAGTGCAGAATGTCATACGGGAGTTGTTCAATGGCTGCACCGTAATCATGGTGGCGCATAGAATCCACACATTGCTTGACTTCGATCAAGTTGCTGTTCTGAACAGTGGTCAAATCGTGGAGGTGGGACATCCTCGTGATTTACTCGATAAGCCCAATGGGGAATTTTCGAAGCTGTTGAATCTCGAGTCGTGACATTCAGGGCTCTAGGGCATTGCTTTTCGGACTTTTCTGTTGCGACTGGATATAATCACTTAATAGATATTCACTTTCAAAAACTTGAGAGAACGCCCTTGATGAGATTTCCCATTATTCACCCTTTCCGAGCTCTCTATATAGAACCATTCTTTCTCTCTACTCCATCCAGCGAGTGGTCTCCAAGCTCTTCAACGATCCAAGACGAACCTCTACATCAACAGTGCCTAGGTAAGGACTCTATAAGACTGACGTCATTCTGACTGTTGCTTACCTCATGCTAATACAGGAGACGACTCCACGGTGTATGGAGCTGTGAGCAATACCCAGCTCGCGAAGATCCAGAAATGGTGTCTCCCTCCTCGGCCCAACTTGCACTCACCGATATCTACCCTCCCACCCCAATACCAAAGCCACAAGACTTCAAGACGGCGATTGAGAACAAGTCTAAGGCGCTCAGGGATGGAAGTGATGAAGATTCGTACCTATCATTCAGTGGCGTTACCCCACAACGTTTCGAATACATCGAGAGCCACCGGGACGCCCTTGGAGCGAAACGTGCACGCTTCAGCTATTTTGCTGATATTGAGACGCTCATTGTCAAGGTACCCTCTGAGCCCCATGAGAAGGCCCACGCAGGAATAGGAAGTGAGATCATGCTCCGTCTGAGAATGAACATGCGGATTGCCCGTGATGAAGTCTTCCCTGTTCAGTCAACCACATACCATGGAAGAGGGGGCTCATCTAAGGAGGCTGACTCGTCGTACAAGAACCTGAGAGTTAGATCTCGGGTTGGATCCTGGCCCCTCTGGGTGGTTGAGGGGGGCATGTCAGGGTCCATACAACGTCTCCGTGGAGACGCGAGCTGGTGGATAGACCATTCTGGTGGAGAGGTCAAACTCGTCCTCCTTGTCTGGATCCGCCCTAGTCGCAAGACGATCAAGATCGAGACGTGGGTTCCAGAACAAATACTTCCACTTTGGGCCAGGAAAGAAGACGATGAGGTCGAGATTGATTTTTCAGTCAATCCACCAATCTATCGAGGCCCCCCTGCCCTTGTTTTCCAATTCAGTCGACTTGTTGGCCGTCCTCCGGTGCCGCCCAGCGAAGGTGATGTGGTGCTCTCCCGGCTAGACCTTGTGAAATTGGCCAGGGACATCTGGCACGGCATTATTTAAGCAACGAGGATTCAGCAGGTGCAGGAAGAATGGTTAATTGCTTCATATCTTCTTGACTCGGATCAATAAACAGGTAAGTCTCTTGCGAAGAGGTAATACTGTTTTCGATCTGTCGCTAATAACCTGTTCAGGCTGTTGCCTCACAGCTCTGGTGGTTCAGTCGGCCATATCCCTTGGGCTCAATTGAAAAGTATCAGCCAAGGCATAGCCGGGACTTTCCAAGATCGTTACCGTGTTTGGTGGTGTCTCTATGCGTTCGAACATATGCTTGGTGTCGTGTCAATCCGAGATGCCATTTCCAAGGACCCCCTGCACTTTACTATCTCGGTTCTTCGACGGTTGCTTCTTAGCTTGGCTTTGTTTTTCTTTTTCTTTCTCTTAGATTCCTTCTTCGTTAGTCTGCTAGTTACTTCACTTGCAACCAATGGCCAGATTTCCGTATTCAGAGGACCGCACACTTAATCTGTACATCAATAGTACGTAGGTATGCCTTAAAAATGATGTCAATTTGACAGCAGATAGTAAGTCAAGCTGTAAGGTAGGTATATAATTTATTTCTGCTATTTCGTTGCACCCAGGAATACTCGAATAGTGTGCGGCCAGCACTTTCACAAGACCAAGTACTCTGTATTCGCAGACGCGTATATATCTCAAAGACTGACCATCAATCACAATCGTCCTGAAGCATAAGATTAAACCGTATCATCTCTTCCAGCCACAGCCACCTCAATTTGCCGAGAGTTCGGCTTAGCCTTCTCATCGTCGTCGCCTTGCCCGTCACCCCGATCCTCAGGTAGAATCACCTTGTCACCAAAAGACGCGGCAATCTCCTCGAGAGTCTTCTTCTTCGTCTCACTAGCAGTATATCAGTACACCTCCACCAAGTAGCTTAGCATCAACTCACGGGAAATAGAAATAAGCCACCACGAAAAAGAACGCCGTACACGCCACGAAGACATAGTAGTAGTTCTCGCGGATGTTCGCAAACGCACTGGGCCCTGCTTCGGTGACTGCACATGATCGGATGATCTTAGCCTTCCTGCTTACCCAGCGGGTAGAGTCAGAGTGAGGGAACAAACCAGCAACATTAACGATGAAATGCGACGCGGCCGCTAGGCCCATTACTTTACTCCGCAGCGCGATGGGGAGGACCTCGGCGCCGTAGAGCCAGGTTGTGCTGTTGAGCATGCCGTCTGGGATTGCTCAGTACGTTCTTTTCTTTCATTCCATATTGATAATTGGGACGGGATTGGATTGCACCGCGGGAGTAGGGAGGGGAGAGAGAAGGGACGTACAATATGTCACGACGAACAGGTAGATGCCCAGTATGGCGAAGCCCTTCCCGATGCGGTTGTTTGTGTTTTGGAATTCGCGCTGCATGACTGCGGCGTAGATTTCGATGAGGATTATGCCGCCTAGGCCGGTGAGGATCATTCTATGACACAGATGTGGATTAGTTTGGGTTAGGGAGAGATGGATGGCAGAGGTGGATACTTTCGGCGTCCCCATTGGTCGGTGAGGTATTTGGTTGTAAGGCAGTTGGTGAGGAAGGCGATTGTGCCGTAGACGGCGGCCAGGGCCAGGATGGTGTGCGAGTCTATGCCGAGGGATTTGTAGAGGATTGCTTTGTTGGGGTTAGTTTCGGCTTGGGAAGTCAGGTCAGGCAGGGTGTTTCACTTTGATAGTACTGAGTGTATGCCGATGTTAGTCGGGTCTCGGAGGGTGGTTGTACTGGAGGACATGACATACCTGGATGACATTCACGCCAGTCAGACTAGTCATCGTCTGCACGGCAATCGAGCTACATCCCATTAGTTGGAGCACCTCCATATTACCAGCAGCACTTACACCAGCACGCGGCGCCGGAACAGCCGAAATATCTCCCGGTAGGAAGTAATCTCCCGCTCCTTCTCGTAGTTGATCTGCGCAAGCATGAGCTCAAACTCCCGGTGCACATCATCCGAGGGGAGATCCCTCCGTATCCGCACGAACTCGCTGCGCGCCTGCTCGATCTTGCCGTTGCGGATCAGATGCCGCGGCGAATTGGGCATGAAGGTGACCAGTCCAACGAACATGATCACGCCCCAGGGAATCTGGATGCCCAGCGGCAGTCGCCATTGCACGGGCCCGTAGGGCGCAAAGCTACAGGCGAAGCCGACCCAGTTCGATGCCATGGTTCCGAATGAGATTCCGCAGCCTGAGATACCTCCTATGAGGCCTCGATAGCGTGGGTCCGAGATCTCGCTGAGGTAGATGGGTACAGTGGCTACCATTCCTCTGCAATTGAGTGAGTCGAGGAGATACTAGAAAATCACGCGAGGTCATGGGAAGGACTTCTTACCCGACGGCATATCCGGCAAGGGCACGACCGGCCAGGAACATCCCAATGTTGACTGATGCTGTTTGGATAGTCGTTCCGATCGTCACGACCACACACATCAGGGCCATGAAACGAAGTCGACCCAGTCTATCGCCGATTGCGGTCTGCGTGAGGGCGCCGACTGCCTCGCCGGCGATGTAAACGGCAACGACCTAGCCGTGTCAGATTGAATCTTGAATATTGCTGAGAATTTAACCATACCGCTCCGGTGAGGCCAGCCGACGGGTGACCCATATACTTGATCCAGCTTTCATGGGCAATAGCTGACGAAACTTCAGCGTTAGCCGCTTGCAAGATATCGATTCAAGTAGCGCAGCCCAGGCTTACTTGTTGTGGCAATTCCTGTATCAAAGCCCTGCTCTGTTGATTAGCACAGCTAACATACCATACGCATCAGAAACATACAAAAAGAAATGTCCCGATGGCCGCAAAAACGGCAACACTCAAGGTATACCACGCCGCCATCTTGCACAAACCAAGTTTACAAAGTCCGCAAGAATGTTCCGAGGTGCGAGATGCAGGACGACAGGTCTGTCGGACAGGCCCAGATCCCCAGCACCCACCGCCATTTATACGTCAACCTCCATCAATATCAAAATAGGCAATAGATTGGCGGATACTTGTCCGACAGCAAGCCGAGGGTGTGTAACTGTCAGTGCCAGGACCACTCGGAGGATGGCCGAGAAGCAGCCCCCATGGGGTCGCTCGATCTGGGGTAGATAATACCGAGTTTCGTGCGCCTAGCTTCAGATTCGTCGAAGGCTCGTCTCTTCAGCTAGAATGGACAACGTGGGGATATCCAAGTCATTCGTGGGGGTTCATTTGGTCGGTGGTTACTCCGCATCGTGTAGACCAATGGATGAGGTGCAATGGTTGTGCTAGCGATGAAAGACGTCACTTGCAAAGCAAATGAATCATGCTGCTGGAATTTCAGCTAGAGCTATTACCCCCTAGTATCTGTCAAATACAATGATCGGCAAAGATCACGGAGTAAGGGAGCAGCAAAGCTCTGATGGAGGTGGGGTGGGATAATCACAAGTCCTACTTGGTAGTAGAGAAGACGGGCTGCTTGTCTTCTTTAGGATAACTTCACGATATCAATGTCCGTAGCTTGAATGCGCAATAACAGTGAGAGTTGTCGTTGATATCAAGTCGGACAAAGACCGTCGGTCACCGGATCAAGGTGTGTTTGTGATAGGGGTGATCGAGAAATACTCGTTCATTTCTTAGTAGTACTTTCGTCTCACTCAGTCAAAAGACGCTGTATTTTGGAGATAATGAGACATGCATAGAACGAAAATATATATCCGAGAACGCGAGTATCGTTTCGGGTTGTGTACCTAGCAATGCCCATTGGAGCCAACAAGCTAGACTCGATCGAAACTGACATGATTTCCTTCTCCAAGTTTGTTGTCCTCAGACGACTATTCAGGTATAAGTCACATGAGGGGCTGTATGCTTGTTCTGCCTGATGATATGCGCTTGTCAGAGGTTCTCAGAGTTCAGTTGCTTCAGGATTTGACAAGACGAAACGGATATTGCCAGGGCGCATTGCCAAAGATTTTGCAAGAGTTGCGAGGCTAACACGACGGTCTACATGGAACACAAGAGCAATTCGTGAAGAGACTCATAATCTAGGAGTCATATTGTCATTTTGTGAATATGAATTCCTATTTTATTTTTTCCATTGCCAATGTCATATGCCCTCCGCCGGAGTAGTAGACCGGTCTGCAATGCACGAAACCCAGAGCCGAACAAGGAAATCGCAAATTTAGAAAACAAGAGCAGCACCCTTAGTCTTCTTGTCACCACTACACAGCGAAAAAAAGCGCGTTAGTATGTATGAACCAGACGTCACCACAGTCGCAGACTCAACGTACCCCAACTCGAAGTGCTTGCAACGCTTCAGAGCGAGCTGCTTCTTGGTCTTGCAGGCAGTGCACTCAAGACGCAGGACGATCTTCTTGGTGGTCTTGGCCTTCTTGTGGAAGACAGGCTTGGTCTGACCACCGTAACCGCTCTGCTTGCGGTCGTAACGACGCTTACCCTGGGCGTACAGGGAGGCCTAATCGATCCATCATCAGTGTCTGTGCCAACTCGTCTACCATGGCGTCTGGATTGTATTCACCTTGCCAGCCTTGTACTGGGTGACCTTGTGCTGAGTGTGCTTGTGGCACTCCTTGGACTTGCAGTACGTCCGGCGGGTTTTGGGAACGTTGACCTGGTGAGCGCAAGAGCTATCAGCAACTGTCCGTTACAATCCAATAGCCTCTTGGTGCTGCATGTTTCCGTGTCCTGTTCATCGGAGAATCCTGTCGAACTCGGCACCGGTGATCATAGGAAGAGATTGTTGGCAGAGCCTAGGTCACAAGTTCTTCTGGCGAGAGGATATTCGTCGGTATTTTCAATTTGATGCGCTGAGCCTTTCACTGTCCGGGCGTTCGTTTCATCCTCATCGCTTCGAGGAATATCCCATATTTTCTCATCTGAGTTCTGACGCATGAGACTAGTTCAATATCTCATATCCGAGCGAAATTTATCGTGGTTTGCGATCGATAGCATTTTCATCCTTTTTCCGTTGTCCGCAATTTCATCGTCCTCGAACCCGAACAAATATCTCGTTTCATCGCCAAGTACCGAGTTTTCGACAGAACTTCTCCGAATCTCCAGGATGGAAACAGCATGCGAGCACGAAAAACGCAAATATGTCCTTACCATTTTGACTGAGTTGGCCGGATCGCGAGATTGGTGGTCGTTGGATAGTCTCTTGTCGGAGAGGAGCGAGTCGGACTGTACGTGGGTTGTGGGATTTCGTTCGCTTAGGGCCCTGTTTCGGGTGGGCACTAACCGCTTCGGGTGTGTGTGCCAAGGCCGCTGGCTGCCCCAGGCATCATCTCCGTTATTACCATTATTCTCTTCGGATCGCCCTATCAATTTTGAATTCCGCATTTGTACGTCTTGTCTGTAAATTCCGAACTCAAATCTCGTGCGCAAATGCTTTCCCAACAAGCACTTTCTCTCCTTTTCCGTACCAACATGGTCCCTTGCAAAGCTCTAACCCCGTTTCTTCTCCCACAATCCATTCTGCTTCAGAAGATACGGTCCGATTCACTCGAGGCCAGTACTTTTCTTGGATTTTCTGGTTGATCTGCTCGACCTTGTCTACCAAGGCCGCAACGCGCTCACAACCAAACGCCAATTCCCCATCCACGCCCAACTTCTCAAGCTGAAACCCATCATGTGTGATGAACCTGGCAATCGTGATATGCGCCGAGGGTACTAGGTACCTAGGCTTCAGTTGTAATCCCGTAGCTGCGACCCCAGCGTACAGATCTCGTCGCAGGTGGTGATACGTATAATTGTCGTCGTCCGCGGCGCGACTCCATCCTGATTGCTCTCCGGAGGCAGGAACGAAGCTCAGGGCCATGGCTGCTGCGTCGAAGCTGACACTAGGCTTGACCAGCCGTGCCCGGTGGTTGAAGGTATAGTTGACCAAATCCGGAATCACACCACTTTGCTCTAGGTGAGAGACAAGAGCGTCGATCTCCAAAGAAGACCGGGAACTGGCCATCTCAAGGACAGTCATATGTAAGAAGTCGGGTGGTGTAAGCCATATGCCTATTAACAGTCAGTCATCGGCTTAGAAGACAGAAGCTGGTTGATAGCTCACTTGGCACAACACTCTGAATTTCTTTTTGAATCTCAGCAATAAAGTCCTTTATATGTTGTGGGGGTCGTGCGTAAAAGTTGAGATTGTTCCTGTGATCAACGAAAGGTGTCTGGCCGTCATGGCTGGATATAGTCGTCTGTATATGTAGCTTCTTCAGGATTTCATCGACCTGCCATCCTGTGAAGTTCGGACTGAGGATGTGGGCCTTGGACTTTGCATTCCTCGTAGACCGGTGCGCTTCATATTGAGCTTGAATCTTAGCCTATTTGGAGTCAACAACTATAAGTCCAGACGAGGCTGTGGACATTTACCGGGTTGCCTTGACACTTGGAGATCAATTCGTCAAAGGGGTTTTGGCTTGAGTCTTGTGCCATATTGAAGAAAGTGTCTTCAAAGGTTGGTGTCAATGGTTGAAATTCGGCCAAGCCTAGATACTGGTTGCTGCCAGCCAAAAATAGCAAAATATATACATGCTAGTACATGCATAGCATCAAGTTCACAATCAGCACTCTGCAAGTATAGAGACCAGACAACTTCAACCCTGCCCGTGTAAGCTACACAATAATATATGGAGAACATCATACATTGACATAAGTCCTATGTCAAAAAGCCAACAGTCTTTAAACGGACTTTCCATCGACTAAGAGACTGTCCTTCTATGCTGACTCTACGGAGTACATCAAACGTCCCCTTCCATTACTGCCCCACCGATAACCCCGCTACGGCGAAGCCTTCCGTCACCATCATCTCCGATCAATCACCGTCATCTCACTCTTGCTCGCCTCAATACTATTATCTTCGTTTTAGCGCGTTGGCTGCTATTTCTTGCTATTTCTTCAAGTCTGTGAGCTACATTTCACTGAATAAACCTGAAAATGTTGATCAAGTGAGTAGATCACCGCAAGTAGCGGGCTGATCAATCGTGTCTGGCACTGGGGACCTGGCCTGAGCTAACCGATGATTTACTATATAGAGTCCGTACCCTCACCGGCAAAGAAATCGAACTGGACATCGAGCCTGATTACAAGGTACATACTTATTTGTTGCATGCTCCGCTTCCCTTTCGCTGTGGACTCCACGTTGTCCGACAGCATCGTCTTCGCCGTGAACGGAACGAAAGAAGACCTGCACACTACATACCGAAGGATATTTGCGAAAGCATATACTGAGACTTGTACCAGGTGTCCCGGATAAAGGAGCGCGTCGAAGAGAAAGAGGGTATCCCCCCTGTTCAACAACGACTGATTTTCGGTGGAAAGCAAATGTATGTGATGTTACTATGTATGTGCTGTTGCAATTCGCTGACGATGTTCGCACCTGAAGGGCCGACGACAAGACCGCTTCAGAATATAATCTAGAAGGTGGCGCGACGCTGCATCTTGTCCTTGCTCTGCGCGGTGGCTGCGACGCTTAATGGGTTCCTTCATCACAGTTGACGCTATGGAGATCTACGCGAATAGATAATGAGCTGGAGCTGTGACACGCGTTCGATCGTAAAGCGGGGGAGAACTCCAGGACAGCATACGAAGTTTCGCCCATTCTATACCCCAGACGTGTTGAGCATGAGGAAGCGACTGAGAATTAGCTGTGACAAACGAAGTGGAAGAGCATTTGATCCTCGACTATCGCGCACAGCTCCTGCACACCAGGCGCTGCACAATGTCTTCTTTTCAAGCCTAGGCGTCTCTCTACTAACCATGTGAACGCATTAATGATCATTGAAGAATGTACACATATCAAGAGAAGGGTTGCAATCCCTTGTTCACTCGCTCCGAAAGCCGGACCGATCCTAAGCTTTAGACTAGTCATGCATCACCACGCTGTAGGGAAGTGTCCACGCTGTACCATATTTGTGCCAATCCCGTCGCGTCCCATCCAAACTCCATACAGATACAATGGCTAATCCCACGATGATCCCAAAAATGATCCTTGACGGAAATGAAAGAGCCGACCAATATTGCCAATGAATAGAAATGATAAGCCCTAATGAATGTCAAAAGTACGAGATGAAGATATTCGGAAATCTGAGGCTATGTATAATCAATCAGAAGTCATCTTTGAAGCATGAACACACGGCACGTCGTCAATTGACCTTTTTCTTCTTTGGCTGGATGAACAGACTCGGTGCCGGTCTCTTCCGCATGACTGCGCGTGGCGGTTGAGCGGGAGGAACCTCTAATATGTCGGGGTGAGGAATCGCCTCCAGCAGAGCTGGTTTGGCGCTCTCAGCAGCGGCCGTCTCCTTCGTACCCTGTAATTGGCCCACCGGAAGAGAACCAGATGTTTCTTGAGTCGAGGATGAGGCCGGAGAATCCTGCGAGCTTTTGCTTGCGGCAGTTGCTGATGCTCGGTATGGCACTCGAGCCGGAGCCGGCGAGCTTTCAGAAAACTTCGGGGTCGATGAGCCCGTCTGCTTCCCCGATGTCAACGCTCGGAGCCTCGCTTCTCTTTCGCGCAATGACGCGCTGACGACAAAATGGCTAGGCCCTCCAGAGGAGCGAGTGCTCTGCAGCCTCGATCGCCCGGGTGCTACTAAGGTTGGAGGGCCGTTGCGCCGAGGAACAACCGGATCGGGAGCTCGTCGGTGCTCCTCAATCAAGGAACGAGGAGCCTGTTTAACCTGACTGGCTCTGTTGTTTAGTTGCTTGGTTGGTACTGCGAGGACAGGGTTTCTCTTCGTCAGGTTGAAGATGTTGCTCTTCCTCTTCTCCAGCCGAGGAAGCTGCGGTCGCTCATACGACCAGGCAGGTGCCCCCAGGGGTTCAGACGAACCCAGCCCGCTCCTTGGAGAAGCAAATCTTGGCGTAATACCTCCCATCTTCCTGTCGAACGAAGCATACCGTTGCTTCGTCGTTGGCCTTTCTCGAGGCAGCGGAATAATCCGTCGGTCAGTGACGAACTTAGCGCTATGTTTGGCACGCTCAGAGTTGATGCCATCGAGAGCCATCTTGAGCTTCTCTGCGTCCTCCTCCACTGCTTTTTGGACACGTTCCCGGAGATCGCAGTATATGTCGTACCAGCAATCGGATTGTTCGGGCAAATCGTACTCGTCCCATCTTGGTATATCCCGTTTGATGAAATCAAGCCACAGTTCGGCATCGTCTTCCATGATATGCGGCGATAGCAATTCTAGAGATCTCTAAGATAGGGCAAGCGGTTTAGCGTCAGCAAATCAACCCAACAACATGTAAACAGGGGCCACACACGAGTTTCTCGGGGCTCTCGATTTTGAGAAGAAACGGACGAGCAAGCGAATATGGAACATTGCCAATGTCGTTCAAATCTGCAAAACACTTTTAGACAATGTTCCGGTAAGGGATTACTCGCACTCTCCACTGACATTTGACATTCCTAATGGCAGTTGCGGTGCAAAGCTGTAAAAGCGATGGCGGCGGCATTATCCTGGATGTGATGAAAGACTAGATAAGAAAGAATATGATGGCATGAAGAAGGTAGAGAGAATTAATGGTCCGGAAGTATTGGACGAGGTGCAGGTAAAAGGACGCCAAAGCATATAAGCTGAGCGCCAGCAGTCAATTATCCCCATAGCATTTATGTACTCGGATTGAATAGGAGATAATGATGCGCAACTGGCGATGACAATGGCCGAAGGCGGATGATGTGTGTCACATGATCTTATTGGTCAGATATTGATTCACGAGGATAATGGAGATATCTAAACATCTGGTGAATATCATTGATCGGCCATTATTCATTGAGAGTTAGTTTCTCCTCTACTGGACAATAATAGGTTGACAAGCATTGAGCCATGGTCCTTTCAATGACTTGGGATTCTTAATGTCATGATGGAGCAGTGAATATATTTATGGACCTGCCGCATGACTTGCCATTGCTAATTATATCACAGGATACTTTGAAGCAAGCGAGTTGCCTACTAGAGATGAATGCATAGGTATTCAAAGGCCGCAAATGTATGATGCTAGAAGAAAGGACAAAAGATATGAGGACAAAGAAACGGCAGCGATGTGTAACCTTCTATTTCACCAAGCAACTCCAAAACAGCCCCAAGAATCCTCGGCAAGCGGAAATCCGGCCACTCTGACTACGTTCACCAAGTTTCTAGTCTGCTCATCACTGAATTTGCTGACCAGAAGGCATCTGAGCCAACCAAGTCGGCGGTGAAATGCCAGTCTGCTCATGGATTGTGCTGAAAAGAGGCGGAAGATTCTGCATAATGTCTCTGATTGGGCCCATCGAGTCGTTGGAGCTGGACCCATTCCCTGGAAGGGATGTTACAATGACATTCTCGCCGAGGACGAAGCAGTATTACTCACCAGTGTTCCATGTAGTAATCTTGGGTTGAAGACCTTGAATAGCGAGGCCGTTTGCCTGAGCCAACTTCTCGTAAGTGCCGGTCTCCAGCATCCTATACTGCAGGAAAGCCTGAGGGCCACCGAGAACATCGACGAGCGCGCCATATGCTTTGGCCATTTCTAGGATTCCTTCTGCCTCGCGCTTCTGCTGATAGAAAGCGGCGTCTGCCTCTTTGCTCTGGCGATAATCTGACATCATCAGTGCAAATGAAAAGGTAAGAAGGAAACGTAACTCCAAAAAACGTACAGGTAGCATCAGCTTCCATCTTTCGCCTGTATAACTGTGCATCTGTAGCTTTCTGTTCAGTATAGAAGGAAGCGTCTGCATTCTCCTGAGCAGACTCGCGTGCAACCTTGCTTTTTGTGACCTCAATGGCTCGCAGGCGTTCAAGCTCGGTTTCTGCACGCTTGGACTCAACCTGTTTCTGCAGCTCTGCGTCCCTCATTTCTGCTTGGCGTTGAGCTGCAATTTTGGCAAGCCGAACGCTATTATCTAGCTCAGTCTGACGGTTCATGAGCTCAGAGTCTGCCTTGGCCTTTTCGGCCTTCCGCTTTGTCTCCAAGACTGCAGTGTCGGCATCGATCTTCGAGATCTCCTGTTTTGTTCGTCCTTTCTTTTCGGCCTCACCGATTTCGCCCCTCATTCGTGCCTCAGCCACATCAATCTTGGCCTGGTTGAGGGCTCCTTCGTGAGCTTTACGGCTTAGGAAGGCGAAGTACTCGCTGCCTGGCGTATCCTGGAGCTCCTTCACGTTGGCGTTATAACTATAAAATGCATAAGTCTGCGTGCCGACAAGAATTCAATGTTCCAAACGTACATTTTCAGTCCGAATTGCTGAAGCTCGCTCTGAACGTTTCGAATGACTACTCAGGATCCCGTCAGTAAGTTCAAGATTCGGACTCGATAACAATCACAGACCCTTTGTCTTGAAAACTTGTCTCTCCTTGAAAATCTCTTCCATAGTCATGCTGGAGACGATGACACGGGTCTCGCCTTCAATGATACCCTTGACAATGTCTTGGACATGATTTCGTCTTGT